TTTATTTCTGCAAGGCTTTGTCATGATCTTGGATTTTTAAAATTTTCAATCTTTTTTGGAAATAAAGATTTAAAAATTTTAAAAATCCAAGATCATGACAAAGCCTTGCAGAAATAAAAGAAACTTTTAAATGGCTATTTTGGAAAAATTATTTTTTTGAGTTATGTCACTATTCTTGTGCACCAACAATATGTACTGTACATATTCATATATTGCATAGTATTAAAACATTATTTTTAAAAATTTTGAATCTGGAACCATTACTACTAATTGTTTGATATGTACTTAATATAACATTATTATTATTCAGTTTACTTGGCAGAAATCAGCATCTGAATTGACTTCATTTTTACTAAAACTGACTTTAAAAAGTGTTACAAGGAATACAGGGTGTCTCTAAAACTATTCAAATCATATATATTTTTTTTCTCAAATGACCATAACTTTTTAAAATCATTCTTACGGAAAATACTGTTAGAAGTGGAAGGTCTCTAAGGTTTTTTAAAACCCTGAAACTATGGTTACCTTCTGCAACATGTAAAAACAATAGTTGTGGTTGCCAGTGCAGGTACTATGAGCAACTCTGTAAACATAACTTAGGAGATCTTACCTAGAGCATTATAGCATTATTTGTCTAGAGACTGACAGCCTAATTATCAACCTCTAGACAGATTACTTCATTTCTAATTGTTAACTTCTATTAACTTCAACTATCAAAAATGAAAAATGATGTATAAAAGAATATGAAAAATTAAAATTTGTATGATAATGAAAAGAAATATTCAAACTTCTAACATGTATAAAATAATTTATGGTCATTATATACCTGTATTTGACAACTTATAGTATATTTTTTACAAGAGTTACATGTGAAAACAAACAATATAACTTCATAAACATTAAAGAAAATATTAAATATTTTAAATATTTAGTTATAATTCATATTTTTCATAGTTAATATAAAGTATTCAAGATACCAATTTGACATAAATCTAACAATTTTGGTATCAGGGTTACACAGTGTTTTTGAGTTGTTTAACTTTGCATTTTAACCACTATTAGGTGTCTATAATTTATTGCATAGTTTTAATTTTCATTTTTGCTTATAATTAAACATCTCATGAATTAATTCTGTAAACATGTTATTTCTTTTTTTTTTGAGTTGTAATTAAGTTTTTGATTTCATTTACAAATCATTTTATGCTTCAGTTTTATTTAATGAAATCAAATTATTTGTCATTGATTTAAGAAACATAGAAAAACTTCAAGAAGTCCTATAATTCTATTAATATAAGTTGAACTAATCTTGAAGCTTTTGTAAAATAATGATAAATCATTTGATTCCAAAAACTGCTTTGTTAAGATCACAAAAATTATCAAAATATTTAAAAAAATATATATTCTATTTTATTATTTTGTATTCAGTTCAAATGTAGACAGATAATGGCTTGAACAAAGGCAAATAATGTTTTGTAATAAATAATTTTAGTGACTTGATATTCATGTTTCTTAATTAATACTGGTTAGCTTGCTGTGTAATAAGATATCAATCCACTGCCATAGACAATCTGAATTAAAAAAAGTCTAAATGCTGTAATTTAATTTATGTATTATATAGTTGCAATATTGTTTCTATCCTTCCTGTGCCAGCTGATTCTATTTTTTACAGTTAAAATTATGGAAAATATGTGGTTTTAATGTGCAGGTGGCTACTCAACAAATCTGTAAATCCAAATTCCTTAATTTTTTTGTCAGAAATGCCATTCCTTTTCTGATTTGATCATTTTTTTGTGATTGAAATGATTTTATTTATTGAAAATATCAATAGTAATAATCAAGAAAATATTTACTAATCTTTGTATATAACCTACTTCTTGTTTAGATTAAAGTTATAAGTAAAAAGTTTCAAACTTTTTCAGAAATAAACATAAAATGGAAAAATATGTTTTATATAATATATAGTCTTCGTGAGAATATATGTAACACTACTGATTTTATTATTTATGTGTATTATGTCAATCGATAGATAAGTAATAGTGACGTTTATTATAAGCAAGTTCTAACTTTATTAGCAACATATGACATATATAACTCTATAATTTTATTAAAATATTAAATTATGCTTAGATGGTGACTAAAGCTAATTTATTAATAATAATTTCTCAGAAATAAGCTGTCACAAAAGTTAAAAGATGTGCAACAAAGACTTGCAAAAAAACATGATCTCGTTAAAGGTAACTTTATATTGGTCAATTTAAGTGTGTGCATTAATATTAAACATTGATCTTAAAAAACACTGTTCAATGTAATATTTAACTCAAACAATAACACAAATAAGATAACTACCTTAACTTTTTTATTTTTTTGTGATTTGATAAGTAGGAGACCTAGTTTATGAATTGCTATTTAATAGATCATTCATTTATAATAATTATAACCCAGAACTAAAATATTAAGAATGAAAAGTGACTAATTATTTAAAATAATTTTTTTGATTAAATAATAATTAACAACTTATAAAAATGTTTATCTGTAATTTAATATTTAATATCAATCACAATCATAATTTGCATTTGTTACAATGAATAAATAAAAAAAAAACAATAACAGAAACAAGTGAAATCGACATATTTACAACATTCCCATGCATAATTGTCACGTGTTTTACATATCAAACAAGAATTCAAAAAAGTTAAATATATGGAAAATTTATTTTACCTTTGTAAATTATTCTTTGCACATATTCATCCTTGAGTGTATTTACAATTTAAAATAACTGTTTTTGAAAGTTCATAAGCGGGAAAAAGCTAAATATTTTCAAAATGTAAAACTGTTTTCAAAATATCAACAACAATGTCAACAGCATATTTGTCGAAAGCGCCACCTCATTTTTCGGTTTGATAATTTGATGATTATACATTTTTATTCTTTGGAACAAGTAACAATTTAAGTTTTATTAATATTATTTATAATTACAGTAATTTAATGTTGAAAATATAATTATTAATTGTTTATCTTTTTACTCTGCTTGCCTTATCGACATTAAGCTCGGTTCACAAAAAGTCGCTTCTGACGTCAAACCACCGACGAGGTGTTCAGAATTTTACAAAAACAATCGGAAACGAAGTACGATTTAATGTATATTTAGAAAAACTTATATTTTCAGCATAAAATTAGTGTTTTATAATTCAGACATTGTTTTTTTTTTTTCGTTTTTGATGACTTTTCGCCCTAGTGCCCACCAGAATGGATAACAACACTGAACACTGGTAGTTGGTTGTGGGTTTGCGCCTGGACAACCGGTTGGTCACGTGGAGTTTTCCGGTTTTATTCACGTTTGTAACGCCCAAATAGGGACCAGTTTGTCCATAAAAAACCTCCCCGGAGGATTCCTTCCACGGCAGATCACCAATGTGTCGCGCGGCAATATACGAGTAAAATTTTTTCGCCCTGTGGGAACTAACAAAGCTCTTCTTTCTAGGTTTATCGTGGCATCCAACCAAGTCCACAATGATGATGAGAAACGGCGCACGACATATCCAGGAAAAGCCGCTCGTGAAAAATTCTTGGCAAGTATGCTCGCCCGAATTCGATTCCTTGTCTCCTACATTCCTACATATTTTTTATATTTGTAGACATATTCTAATATTTATTGGCGAATTTCACTTCCACGTGTGTTCACTTACTGGTAAAGCAATCATTTGGAATCTTTTTCACCTGCTGTGAAAAATTTTTCATCTATATAATTAATAAAAAATCATTTGAATACAAGTAAACGAATCATCACAAGAATTTGAATTTAAATTTTAATAACGAAGATAAGTCAAAAGTAAATTGTTACCAGAGCCTCTTCGGCCATCGGCCGTATCGACCGATGTTACCGCTTCCCGGGACGTGGACCCAGAGGTTGAATTTTGGGAAGCGTGCTCGTGTTGTGAAACGGTGTTCCTTATAATGTACGTGAATGGAATCATTGGTGATTGGATGCGACGAATGTCTTGTTGTTTGAACTCTATGTTTCAGCGTGAGGATGTTGTTGTTTGTGCGTGAATGTGAATTACTAAACTAACGTGAGTACGACAAGGGAAAAAAAATAAAAAACCTTTTGCCTTCTTATCCTAGGTTAGTAACTTCAGAAATAGCAAAGGAAAAATTCGTTCACATCTCTTACAAAGCGACGCTTTTTCCTTCGCATCCTTGCCCACACCGAACGAGAGTATCCCACTCGTTGGAAAAGGGAGGAATGATCAAACATTCCTTCCCTCCCAGTGCGGCAAAGATGATGTCGTCAACATGGAGACATTTCACTTTTCGGAACACATCCGAATGGCGAAATGCCTCCTCTCCGTTCAACGCGGAACAGAGAATGCTGTTGAAACTGGATGATTAAATCTGCAACAGACATTGTTATAACTAACAATAAACTTTAATTTACACAAAAGAAGGAACACTACAACTTCACACACTTGAAGAGAACGAAAAAGGCGGGAAAAAGACAAAGAAGTAGAGGGAGCTCATAACAAATCGATTGGTGTTGCCACCTATAGACAGATCATGAAAATGTAGAAAATTTATTTTTCCAACACTTTCCCTCATTGAATGATCTGTTGATGTTGAATACCCATTTTTCTACAAAGTAATTCAAGTCTCTGTTTCTGAAGTGGCTTTGTCAATACGTCAGCCACCTGGAACTCTGTGGTTACTTTCCTTACCATAATGGTTCCATCTGTAACAAGTTCGCGTACAAAAAAATGTCTCGTTTTAATGTGTTTAGTTCGGCGATGATATTCTGGATTTTGCGCCAGTCTTATTGCGGCTTCATTATCAATTTGTAATTCAGGAGGCTCTTTGAGTTCTGTAATATCCCTTAACAGCCGCTTTAGCCATACTATTTCTCGTGCTGCTTCACTTGCAGCCACCACTTCTGCTTCTGTGGTAGATATTGCGACTGAGTTTTGTCTCTGACTGAGCCAAGTGATTGCTCCGCCGGAATAAATGCAGGCAACTCCGGAAGTAGAACGTCCA